ACGGCATTGGTCTGATATTTAGAAATGTCAAAGGCTGATGACATTTTACTTTTGTCAATTATGACATATCGCGCGTTGATTTTTGCAAGAAGAGGAAGAACTGTCACTTGTTTTATTATTTTCCTTTTCTATTTCACGAAAGTAAAAAGAGTTACCTATCTGATTCGTTCAGGCACTCATTTTAAAGAATATCAGTAACTGGGTAACTTTAGATAGAGGGCTTTTATATTTGCCATGTTGGTAAAAAATAACGGTCAAATTCAAAGTTATTCATTTTAGAGACTATACTTATAGCACATACTAAGTACAGGGTGTTCCATTTTGGTTGAAATCATATGGTATCTCCGTTATTAGTAAAGATAGGAGAATGTATTTTTTGTCAAACGAAAATGTCTTTTTTGTCAAACGAAAGATGCTGTAAACAAAATGTTCATAGCCCTCTAGTTGCTGAGCTACAGGGTATTTTCGAAAATTTTGCAATTTGGGACAGCCCACGTATCTCCGTTATTGTGGATGATATCGAGAAGGTAAAAACTGATTCTTGTAGAACTTTTTACGTAGAATACAGTGGTGTAGTCTGTTTTTTTCTAATAACACGGTATATTTATAAATCGTATGATCTGTCTTGCTATCTCTCTTTTCAGTCCTGACCCCCATTAGGGAGTGTAGTAGTCAGCGTAACATCATGGATGATTTTTCTCCATGCGCCTCTGTCTTTTGTCGTCTCGATGACATCGTGCATTGGCTTGCTACAGCTAGTCGTGATCTGGTCTATCCATCGAGTTAGAGAGCGGCCACGTGGTCTACGTCCCTCCACCCTGCCTTGAATTATGAGTCTTTCCATATTGTCCGGACTTTTCCTCATTATATGTCCAAAATATTTTAGTTGTTTTAGTCGGATTTTACAGGAAAGCCTGTGTTAGTAATATTAAGTTCATTTATAATGGAAACGTTTGTACGGCGTTCAGTCCATGGGATATGGAGCATATGTCTATAACAATACATCTCGGTAGCATCGATCTTCTTACGTTCCGTCAATATTGGGAGTACCAAACAGTTGACTAGCCGGTTTTTGGTGGCTCTTGAAATCTGGCGGTCTTTCCAGATCTTGGTCAGTCTCCCAACAGCTACCTTTGCCATGTTGCACCTACGCTTCACCTCTTCTTCCGATGTGCCTGTATTTGTCAATAGTGATCCCAGGTATACGTATGACTTAACGACTTCAAAGCGGTCGATATGACTTATATTTGGATGATTGTTATGGTGCCTATCAACTATGATAATTTTGTTTTTTTGCGCATTTAGTTCCAGACCGAGCCGATTGCTTTCGTTTTCTATCCTATTTACTAAATTGATTAACTCTTCTTGACTGTTAGCGAGTAGTGCTGTATCATCTGCAAAGCGTAGATTATTTATTTTTTGGCCATTTATTGAAATGCCTCCTTTCCATGTTTCTAGCGACCTTCTCATTATGTATTCTCCGTATACGTTAAATAGTTGAGGAGACAATATACACCCCTGTCTGACTCCTTGTTCGAGGGAAAATTCCTTTGAAGCTGAATCCAGTATTCTAACTGATCCTGTAGTGTGCTGATACAACTGAATGATAAGTGAAATAAGGTGTTGCGGTACCCCCACTTCCTTTAAGATTTTCCACAGGTGATGCCATCTGACTTTATCGAAAGCTTTTTTATAGTCTACGAAACAAATATAAAGAGAGATGTTGAATTCCCTTGCTTTCTCTATGATTTGGCGCATATTCAGAAGATGTTCTTGAGTGCCTCTGCCCTTGGTGAAACCTGCTTGTTCTGCTGGAATTTCTCTTTCTAGAAAAGCTTTCAGTCTTTCATTTTAATTTGCAACATTACTTTACTGGCATGTGAGATGAGGGAAATTGTACGATAGTTGCTGCACTTATGTATGCTCCCTTTCTTGTGGAGAGTGACAATGGTGGAGTGTGTCCAGTCGTCGGGCCATTCTCCTGTGTGCCATATTTTATTACAGATCAGATGAAGCATTTCTAATCTAGGTTCTTTAACGGCTTTTATTATTTCTGCTGTCATTAGGTCTGGACCTGGTGCTTTATGGTATTTTAATTTGTTTATGGCCAATTCAACTTCACTTTTAAGGATGTCCGGTTCTTTCTCTGAATTTTCGTGGTGGTCGACATAGTTATATTCTTCACTGTCTTTGTATAAATCTTAGCAATATGATCTCCACACCTCAATAATGTCTTCTTTTTTGGTTCTTAAAGTTCCATTTTGATCTTCGATTGCCCAATTTCTGGCTTTAAAGATCCTGGTAATATATTTTTTTTATTTTTTATTTTTTTATTTTTTTTATTTTTTATTTTTATTTTTTTTATTTTTTTTTTAATTTTTAAATTAAATTAAATTTATTTTCAAAATTTTTTAAATTTATTTTTATTTTTTAAAAAAATTAAATTTATTTTGGGATTGATATAGGTATTTTACTTTTGAACTGTCACCACTGAATCTCTAAATATATTTTTCTATTTTTTATAACGGAATTTATTATAAATGGATGGGGTTTGCAAATATCTAAAAGCTGGCATTATTAGCTTGCATTATTAAAGCATTTTCCACGTGTTCGACATTGTTGTAGTTGCCACGATATAAAATGGGACACTCTGTACTCTGTACATATAGTATCAGAAAAATAATTATCGAATTCAATGAAAAAAACGCTAAAAAGGTGCATCGTGGTGCTGTTTCTTGTCGTTGCAGCTTTGACACTTGCTGAACAAATCACCATTTAAGAAAATGTATACAAAGTTCACTACACACAACAAACTATTAAGAATCGCCAAAAAATTGCCGCTATCTAACAACAAAAACTTACGATTTTTTTTAATTTGGAATTTTTTGATTTTTTTCTACTTTTTAGTAAAAAAAACATAATTTTTTGATAACATGGCAACATAGGTAGTAGATTAAATTTACAAGAAAAAAAAACCGGAAGAGATCCAGTGATTCCCAAAATTTAAGAAAAAAAATCATTTTTTTTTGGAAATTTTTTAAGTTAAATAACTTGGATATTTTGGACTACTAAATTTTTTTTCTTAAATTTTGAGAACCACTGGATTTTTTTCTGGTTTTCTTTCTTGCAAATTTAATCTACTCCCTATGTTGCCACATGAAAAAAATTGTTTTTAATTGAAACAATTCCAAATTTTTAAAAAAGAAAATTTCTACATTTTTTCTACATTAAAATATAGAAAATTTGTGAAATTATACAGAGTGAGTTTTAAATAAGTGCAAATATTTCCAGGGCTGGTAGATCTCGATAAAAGGAATATATTTTCTCTTTACCGTTTTTCATATAAGTCCAAAATTACCGTGTTATTTTACTTTGAAAATTTCAAAAAAAAAATATTTTTTTCTTAAATTTTGAGGATTATTGGATCCTTTTCGGGTATTCTTTCTTGTAAATTTAATCTACTCCCTATATAGTACAGGGTGGATCATATTCGACGCTTTTAAATGGAAACACCCTTTTCCATAGGAGATAGACGAAAACTAATATCGGTGTTAATTAAAAATACTTAGCAGTTATGAGAGGGTATCTTTCACACCCACTGAGATGAATTCCGCGAGAAATGCTCAAAAACTGCCCCGTCTGTCCATAACAGAAGACGGTCGATATGTCGAACACCTGTAGCAAAATCTCATATCTTGGTTTGCTATTTATTTTTATTGTTATTAGATATAGTTTAAATGTGTTGATGTTGGTTAAATATATTTTAAATTGTTATAAAATTCTGTATCTCTCAAATATTATTTTCGTTTTAATTGATGCTCACAGCTAGAATTTGTTATTACAGCTGGTGCCGTTCAAAGCCTACTTATTTAAAGCGGGCGAATTTTTATATACTCTATATCTGGAAGAGGAATCGAGCAAAATATCAAGTGTGTTATATTTCTGGAAAGGTAATTTTAAATTCTTTTCAATAAATTAAAAATATACAGGGTGTCCGTATAAAAAATCAAATTTTCTGTTGATAATTCTTAAATTATTAATTTTAAAAAAATTATACTTAAACCATTAAATTCTAAGTAAAAAGGTGTTTTGGAAATGTTTTCATAAAAATACAAAATTTTCCATAGCAAAAAAGTTACAGCGATTTGTTACAAATGCATATTTTCAAACACCCCGTAACTCCGAAACGGTAACAGATATCGATATGCGGTTTTCACCATCATGATTTTGACAAAAATTGAGCTCCAGACACCGATATTAGTTTTTGTCTATCTCCTATAGAAATGGGTGTTTCCATTTAAAAGCGTCGAATTTGACCTACCCTGTACAGGGTGTCCCAGAAATAAGTGCAAGTATTTTAAAGGGTGGTAGATCTCGATAAAAGAAACTTATTTTTTCTTTATCGTTTTTCAAATAAATCCAAAATAACGGTTTTTTTACTTTGAAAATTTTCAAAAAAATGATTTTTTGCTCAAATTTTAAGAACCACTGGATTTTTTTTTCTTATAAATTTAATCTACTACCTATGTTGGTTGCCATATTATCAAGAAATTATGTTTTTTAACTAAAAACTGAAAAAATTCCAAAAAAATTTTTCAAAGAATTCCACATAGTGTGGTTCTGGGGTTGAACTATACTACCAGTAAAATACTTGCACTTATTTCTGGGACACCTTGTATATTATGTAAAAAAATAAAAAAAATTTTCAAACAAACGTTTTTGTTGTTAGACGACCTTTTTTTATAGATACTCCAATAAAGAAATAAGAATTTGCTACTTAAGTTAAATTTTTGTGTTATAACACAAGTTAAAGTTTGTCCAACGAGTCATAAAAGATTTCGACATCCATAAAATAGCAGAATATACAATTTACCTTTGATTTACTAATGAATTACAATGACAAATGACAACTGTCAATGTCAACAATTCTTTCGTTAAAGAGGTTTATTTAATAAAATTATAAAAAAATCAATTAGCATTATTAGCAGTTGGCAACTTACAAATAAATCTCCTGGTATTCATAGTGTACCCGAACAAATCAGTTTTGGGAGGCACCACGTCGTTTTGGATTTTCTCGAAAAAGTCTTTGGTCAAAGCCGGCCCTTTCGCGAACATCTCGTTGCAATTTCTTTCCAAATTCGACAAGTTCGAGTGTTTTCTACCCCCGTAAACGTGTTCCCTCGACCTGTTAATATCGCCGTCAACGTCCGACATGTTAATCAACAGTTGTTTGATTTAAACGAAAAATATACGATTGGTTATAATTTTAAGAAACCTCGAACAACACTCGGTAGGTTGTAAATGAATGAGTCTGGGACCTCTGACTTAAACAGTATATATTATAAAATCTCATAATTTTTATCAGGAAGTTATCAATATTTCTTTGACGAAACAATCGCCAAGATGTAAAAGAAGCCGGTGGCGTCTGGACCAGTTGGCTAGGTTTACACCGGCAACATTTATTTATAAGTACTTAAAGTGTTTTTTTTTACTTTTTGCCCTATTTTCATGATTTGAAGCATGCAAATACATTCACATTCATGTCTCTACACCTCTGTGTCATTACATTTAGGGAGAAGAGTGCTTCACGCGTTCCGAGTCCGTTTCCGAAGCCAAACTGGGTGTTGTCCATCTGATTTTCGCACTTCTTGTAGATTCGAGTGTGGATGATTCTAAGAAAGGTTTTGAGGACGTGGGACATAAGACTTATCATCCGATAGTCATCACATTGTGAGGCGTTGGGTTTCTTTGGCAGAGTTACGAATGTTGATTTAAGCCAATCTGACGGTGTTTTGCTTGAGCTATATAATTTGTTAAATAATGCTGTTACCAAATCTAGATTTCTGCTTTCGTTATCTGCAAGGATTTTAGGTATTTCAACGTTTATTTTATCGGGACCGGTAGCTGTTCCGCTTTTCTGCGCTTTTATTGCATGAACAACTTCGTCTTTGGTTATTGCTGGAGCCTTTTCATTCAGTATGTGATCTATCGGTGGTGGGGAACAGGGTCTGTCATCATTAAAAGTGTTTCGATATATTCTTTCCATCTCACAAGCTTAGCCTTTACTCCTAGAATTATCTCGTTGTTATCGTTTCTTAGGATTGTTTCTTGGTGTTTTCTGTGTCTGTTTGTAAATTCTTTCACTTTTTTATAAACATTGAAGGTGTCATACTTTGCTTGTAGGTGCTCTATTTCTTGACATTTTGTTGACATCCAGATCTCTTTCTCTTACCGGCACTTTTTCCTAATGATCCCATTTAAACGTTTATATTCTATCGGGTTTGCCTTCTGCTTCCGTCTGTCATCCATGAGGTTAGTATTTCCTGTGTCATCCATTCCTGCTTTTTGTTGGTTGCCGTGAATCCAATATCTTTTTCCTGGATATTTGTTATTCTAGTTCTTAAATCATTCCATGTCTTTTCGACATCCTCTTCCCGTACAGGTACCTCTACCATTTCTAGTTCTTTTTCGGTCTTAGAACTGATCTCTTTCTTTTTCTCATGGTTGTTCAATAGTGCGATGTCTATTTTCTTTGCCGTTTTCTCTTTTAACTCTGAAGAATCTCTTGAGCCTAAAGTCCAGCACGACAGGGTTGTAGTCACTGCCGATGTCTGCTCCAGGGTAGGTTCTTGTTGACTTCATATACCTTTTGAAGCTTAGGCCGAGCAAAATGAAATCAATCTGATTCCTGACAATTTTTTCTCCCTATCTGAGGTGACCTCCAGGTGTACAGTCTTCTGGGGTGCTGTTTAAAAAAGGTGTTAGCGATTAAGAGGTTATTCTCTACACAGAATTGCACAAGTCTATCTCCCCTACCGTTCCTTTCGCCCAGACCGTATGCCCCTATGCTATCCCCCTCAACACCACGGCCAATTTTGGCATTGAAGTCTCTAATTATCATCGTTATCTCTCCCTTCGTTGTGAGCCGCATTACTTCATCTATTTTGTTATAGAATTCTTCGATTTCTTGATCTGGTTTGTCATTTGTTGTTGTTGGGGCATAAACTTGAATTATATTTAAATCTCTATGAGTTGTTTGTAGTTTTAATAGAGCCACTCTATCGCCCAAAGGGACGAAGTCTATGACTGACTGTGCCACTCTATCTGAAACTAGTATGGCTGTTCCGTATCGATGCTCTGGGTCAGTGCCGCCTGAATGATAAATATATCCATTACTTGTTCTTTGCCTGCCAGAACCAGGCCATCTAACCTCACTCAGTCCCAGTATATCAATATTCATCCTGTTCATTTCAGCCTCAGTGTGCAATTTTCCAGGCATAAACAAGTTACTATGCGTTCTATATTGTCATATATCTTGATTTTCTCTGTGTTTCCCTGATTCTTAATAATAGGCAACGGGGGGATTCTTCGCACCCTCTCCCCACTTGAGGGGTGCCCCGGACTGAGGGCCATTCTATCGTTTTTGTCTACCATTAAGATTTTTGGAAAATGATTTACAGTAAGGGTTCCGTTCCTTTTCTGTACCGCAGTGGGAAGACCGTTTTCGCTGATACAGCCGCGCTCTTCCGTGTTCGGCACTGTACCGCTTCAAAGTCATTCTTCTCGCGCTATAGCCCGATTTTGGTGAAACTGCTGCCGTTCACCAGTGCAGCCAGGTGGATGACACTTCTTATGGGAGAACTGGCAATAGTTGAAAACTTGACTACAAGCGATTTTCTAGGAATCTTCCTTACCAATAAATTATTGACAAGAGTGACAGATAAAGCCTTGACGTTCTTTCAGTATTCCAGTTCATCTCTTTTTCTTTTTAAAGTGTGCGTTGAAAGGAGACAAAAACAATTTTTGATGACACATAATTTGTTATTCGAACACCACTTTTCTCCTTGTCGGGTCGTTGACGTTGACTTGTCGCCATTTTATTTCTTTTGTTTACACCAAGGGTTTACACGCTGCATTTTGCTTTGCAAATTTAATACATAAATTATTTAGGCAAATATAGGTTTTTAATAAAACTCCTCGGACTAACGTGTAGGTAAGTGTTGATAATTTTTTTTTTCATCTTAACATGCTCATTGTCGTTCTCCTGATTTTAGGTGACAGAAAAGGATCATCAAATCAAATTGAATTTTATATTTTCCTTCCTATTTATCCTTCCTAAATATCAACGAGATGAGCCATCGGAAGAAAGGGACCATAGTACAAAACAGAAAGGTGATCTTTTTTCTTTCCACTTCGGATATTGAAATTATTATATACTGTAGTCGTGTTCGGCATTATGCTCTGAGAAATATAGATAAACAAAGAACAACAGATATAAAGCATCCCAGAGGAAAAGAGAGGCAATACCTGTATGTACTCTCTCTGATATTTGTGAAAGTTACAGCAAAGTATTGTTGTAAATGTCATCTTTTTGATCGACCTGAAAACTTCGAGCAAAAAGATGACACTTTCAACAATACCCTGACAGATATCAGAGACGATACAGGTTTTTCCTCTCTTTTCCCCTGGAATACTTTTAATTTATTATTCTTTGTTTATCTAGATTTCTCAGAGCACTATGAACGAACTCAGCTTGTATGTTTGAAATAATCGTCCAGTTGGCTTAAAAATGATGATCGAAGACATTTCCCATATAATTTTACTTTCAAAATTATGATATATCTTTTATTTCTAAGCCATCTATGACGCCATTTTTTTCAGTTTTGTTATAATTAATTTTGTCTCTTGATCTACTTGTAACATTATTCTTTTAATTTTATTAATTTATTGTGGTGAAATTAATTTCTGTTGTATATTTGATATTGATATTAAACATATTTTTAAAAAAATGGTGTAGTTTTTGTGTTTTTGTGTATGTCATAATTAAAAATAAATGAAGAAATAATTTTTTTTATTTTTTTAAACTTCCCGCCATGCGTGACAATTTAGTCCGTAGTTCCTACAAGCGAAATTGGCGGCGCTAGTAGCAGTAGACTTGTCAACAGTGTCAAATTTAAACGTCATTTTCACTTTCCAATATTTAGCAAGGCGCTCGCACTTCTTCTTGTGTATGTGTTTTGTGAGTGCAGTCGCCCATTCTGGGAGAGACGCTGCGTGGGAATCTTCTTAGCTTCACCTTAATCTCTTCGAGACCTTACCGGCATGGGTGGCCCTACCGGTAGCTACGCTACCGCCGGCATCGCTCCCTGGATATAAGGTTACTGAGCCCTCTCACCAGCGACAAGGTGATGATTCCCGTTAGAGAGGGATATGTATGATAGTTACTTCAAAAATAATAGAAATTCCGATATAGCATGCGCAAGTTATAGAACATTGTGTCCTGAAAGGACACAGCCTCATCGTACTATTTTCGCAAGGATTTCAAGAAATTTAGCAGTTGCTGGTAGCTTTAAAAAACAAGAGGGCAATATTCTAAAAGGCTTAAGGATATTAATGTGCCAGCTCAGATTAAAATAAATCTGGAAACTTCTAGCCGTAAAATAAGTCGCGAGTGTTGTGTAAGTAATTCTTATGTAGAGAAAATGATCAAAAAATATAACGCTTTAAATTTGACGAAAAAAATTCCCGTTCCATTTTTTTGCATCTGAGCGTATTTATGTTCCAGATTTTATAAAAATTATTGAAGCTATAGATTCGAAATAAAGATGCCTGAACAAACGTGCTCAATAATCGTGCATAATCTCGTTAGATACAGACCCTTAATAAGAGTTGGCCGAAATATCTTCAGTAGTAACTTCAAACGTCACTATAGTCTAGCTCTAAAATTAAAAAAGTGTATTTTCAAAGACGTGTTCCGATTGTTTTTGATGTAATAGCATTGCCAATAATTGTTTGTTTGTTATTTGGCGTTTGTTATTAAACTAAATTTACGTTATTGTGTTTAATTATTATAAAAAATGGAAGATGGATTAGTTTTGAGGTTCTATTGAGCTCATCTAATGTTTTGCAGTGTTGCGTAAATTTAATAGTTTGTTATTTCATTTGATATTAGATAGATTATCCAAAATATATTACTAGAATTTAGAATTTAACAGCTATTTTTGTATCTAGTGCGCATAATGCTGTTTTGAACGCAATCTGGAATTGAATTTTTATAAAAATTATTCGAGATGCAAACAGCCTTTTCTTTATAAAATTGTTATTTTATAATGTTATTCTAATTATCAAATCTTGTTAATATGAATAATTCTTTCACTTATTTATTGACACAGATATTTGGAATCGAAATTATCAATACCTGTCATCATTGACATAAATTAAACATATCGACTAAATATTTATTAGACTGAAATAATAAATATGAAATATTTTGTACCAAAAGTTCAACAGAAACTGTTTTATCACAATTTTTTCAAAAAAATATTTATGATTAATTTAAAAAAATAAAAAGTTCCCAAATTTATCATTTCAGTCAAATAACTATCTACTCAACATGTTTATTTTTTGTCAATAATGACATATATTGACTATTTCAATTCTAAATATCTTGGGAACGGTTGCTCTTAGCGATTTTTACTAAGAGACATTTTTTACGTAAAAAATGACGAAAAAATATATTTTGTAACTCAGTAGTTTTATACAGGTACGGACGAAAAGTTATTACACTCCAAAACAGTTAAAACACGTGTAGGTGGCGCCTCCAACAAGTAGGAGCCATCGAAATCAAATTTCTCATGTCAACAAACATTCAGACGCCAATTTTTATACAAATATCGACTATAGTTCAGAAATTATTTGGAAAACAACGAACTAAATATGAAACTTATGTCTGGACGAAACAATAAGATATCAAAATGGTTTTAAATCCCGTTTATCCTAATAAAATACAAGTAAATTTTATTTAGACTTCTGTGTTGATAATAAAAACCAAACCAAAACCTAATTACGTATAACAAAAGTCTAATTTTCCAGTGCTTATTTTGAAATCAAAATAATAACAACGATAAAAAATTCGGCTGGATAAGAAACCAAGGCTTTCCACAAGACATACATGTATTTATTTCGTCTTGGACGATAATTTTTGCAGGATTGACGGCACCGAGCCCAATTAATCAAACGTGCTCTTATCGAAATTTTGTAAATCAC